AAATGTTTTGGCAAGTGAAATGTTCTGTTTTCAATATGAAAGTAATATGAAAGCTCAGAGCAGGTTTTTGAAATACTATTTTAAGCACAGAAACATGGGACTATTTCTCAGGCCACTTTTGTAGCAGCAAAGGATATTTTAATGTTTTTCTATCCAGTGTACTGAAACAATGAGTAATAATAGTAAAGCTCTTGAACAGATTTCATGAGGAAGAGTTATTAATGTGTTACTTAAATGGGCTTTATATTATTCTTAAATGTTGCATTCTTGGTCTAGAATTCCGTTTCATGAATAATCCTTTTGATGGCATTTTCTTCTCATTAAGCTGAATTTTGGAGCAGGAGAAGGAAACAGAAATAGGAAAAAAGGGACACTGCATATTTATTTATTTTTTAACTTCTAATTTTTGGAACCTCTGTGGTGTTCCTTTGGGAGTTTTATGGGCTCAGGGCTACAACCTCACGCTTTTTACTAAATTTGGACAGCAATTGTTAACAGTTACATTTTGAACTGGATTTTACAAATGTATTTTCTCCATCCTGTGAGCGAAGGTTAGGTTTGACTTGGTATTCACCCAGCAAGGGAAGATTTTCAAGCAATTCTTTTCTTAAAAGTGTAGAAGCAAATGTATACAGGTTTTCATATAAACTCTCAGATACTACAGTCAACATAGTCAGATAACACAATGATCATACCATGATAGGTACACTTCATGAACCACAAACATATTCTCCAGAAAGCATTACTTAAACACAGATTAAAATCTTTATTAAAAAAGAAAAAAAATACTACTACTTTAATCATGTTTACATCCTCTCCTCATTTGCTTTCTAGGTAGATCACTGAGAATATATTTTCCTGGAACTGATTCTTACAAGAAGTTGAGTTCAAAGTGACCTGTTGCTCTGGAAATGTTCTTTAAAACAGTTAATATGGATAGTTAAGACCAAATGACCTTTCAAATTCACACAGTCCAAGCACGAAATCATAATTTTGGTGAATTAGTTCACCAACTACAAAAAACAATCCATCCTTGAGGACTGATCAGGAATCTGAACGTGAGCATCCCAAAAATTTTTACATAATAGAATCATTGACTACTTCAGAGTTTGTTTCTTTCTGTTATTTGAATCTACCCACAGACATACCTTAAGTGGAATGCCGGCAAGTACTTTTTTGCATGAATAACTTAGGAAATTCCAAAAAATCTTCAAAGACTGTAACAAAATTGAAACTGAGAGATCCAACAGTGTCTCTGATCCTGTTACTTAGCTGTGTTAGGAGGCTGCATCTCTATGAGAAAGAGGAAAATAAGATTTTAAAAAACATACTCATAAACTTCCATCTAAATCTGTATAAGAAACAAAAAAAATCAACGGATGCACAGTGATTACCCAGCATACTCCACAGAGTCTCTGGGATGAAAGTAATTCCCTTTCAGTTCATCTCTCTGCTAATACTTGGTACTTTAACACAGCCCATCACATTGTACGGGATTCATCTACTCAACATTTCTTGTCCAAACAACTTGTTAAACTGCCTGTATAGTTAATAGATAATCAGGTCTGGACAGACTTTTACCTCATATGTGACAGAAAGAGATGTATTATCCTACAGAGGTTATCTTCTCTCCCTACTGCCTGGAGGGACAGACAAGCAGGCATATATTAGATGCATATGAGATATTTAAACTTGGGGCAAGAGAATCTCATTCTTAGTAAACCAAAATTTCCTGACTGCCTTCATCTAGGCTTCATTTTGTAGCAACTTCTCAATGTCAAATCAAACGATTTATGTTGCAGTTCCTCACTACTCATAACCTCTGCTTTTCTGTCCCTCTGTACACATTTATACATGCATATAAATTCCTATACACACATTTCTTTCATTGCTGTCCTGGAAGTCTACTTAAATTTAACAGAATCTAGACATTGATTGTGCCTGGATTGTCAGTCCAGGCACACCATGCCTTTTGATCTTGTATCTTAGTTTTTTCCCACCTTCTTTCATTAAATGTACAGGCTTTTCTGTGTTGAGCTGCAGGCACTGAACTACAATACATTTGTGGCCAAAAGAACACAGCTGATACAGTGTTGTATTCTTTTTCTAATTGAGGTTATTAAAAAAAAAAAAAAAAAGCTCTTACAGTCACAAAAGGTCCCAAATTCTCAGGTTATGCCTCTCTGGAACAGGAAACTACAAATTCATTCTTTATAATTAGATTTTTTCCAATTCATTGTGAATGACCGAATAGCTTTTCAGGTAGGCACCTTATATTAATTCCCATAAATGCTCTACTACATGAGGTCTGTACTGGGAAGACACAGTGACATTCACTTAAATAGCTGGCCTCAGTATGTCCTCACGGCAGGAAAGTGCTTTCTGCTTGTGCCATTGCTTCCCAATTAAACTCTATGTGGCTCTGTCAGCTATAGCCACAGCATCCCTTAAGCAGGAATCCTACTGTCCCCCAGGGTATTTTCTGACACTGTGCCCACTGAATCATTTCTTCTGTGTATCTGCATACTGGCACAAAGCCCAGAAAGTTATAGATGTTTCATATGAGATTCCCACACTTCTCCATTCTGTATGATTTTCCATATACAGTTTTTGTTCATTAAAAAAAAAAAAATAAAACAAAATACCCACATTCCCACAAACCCTCTTGAGTTCCTAAAGCTTTTATTTCTTCATCATTTCCTGATTTTTTTCTTTCTTTCACATGATGCTATCTGGAGAAGGGATAACAGGGAAGAAGAAGGCAGGAGTAACAAGTTGAAAGAGTCCAGAATGAGAAAACTCTCTAGTCTCAGGAAAGGGCAGAATGAAAAACATCTCATGCTTGGAGAGAATTGTAAGTAATAGGAATGAACTTTTCCTGCTGAGGATAAAACCAAGATAGAATCCTGCATGAAATGCTATTTGCTTCACATCAGACTTGGTGAATACCCACTCAAAAGACTATTGAAAATTCAAGCAAATAGTTAAATGCCTCTCACAGAAGGGTTGTTTTTCTAACTGCCTTCCAGAAGTTTGTTAAACCAATACTTTGTAAACATACATCTATGCCTTGAACTTTCACCCCTTCTTTCCAATGCTCCTAACCTGTTCTGTTCATTTTACAATCCTTCTCTTTTTTTATTCCATTTACTGTAGATACTTTCTTATTCTCCAATTTAATTATTTTAAAATATTCACTGCAAACTGTGTTGATTGTTCTATGCAACAATTGTTAAGTGTTTTTAAAATGTCAGGTATTGCAGACATTACATCAATTTCAGGACACACTTAGCTTTAAATTGATTTCAGGGAAATACTAATAAATTGCTAAGCACGCTACAGTATCTAATGTCACAAAGTCTAATGCTTGCTATGTGACTAGACTACTCAAAGAATCCTAATGGCAAGCACACCAGGGAACTTTTCACTGTAACAGGCAAGATAACAATATTCATATGCTGAATGTATGTCAGCTATATTAAAATAAATAACTTGCAATCTTCAGTTGGCAAGTGTTGTTGGATATTGAGTATTACACAAAATCATCCTTTTTTGCATGGTCTGTGTCTTTCCATTAGCTAAAAGAGAGAACATTATGACTCATAAATCAAATATCACTCTTTTATAAATATATTCTGTTTCCAGAGTTATCATGTCTTGAGCCTGGGAGAAGCCACATTTCTATGTGATTTAGAAATCCTTGGAGTTTTAACTCTTTCTTGCACTTGTGTTCTCTGGAGTTTGAGGCTCACAGTTCTCACGCTTATGGCAGCCATTCGCCCTTGGGAAAGTTTGAGCAGAAGAATGAGCATAATTAAGCGCAGATTACCATGAAACTATCCAAGAAACGCACAGTAAATTTTAAGCAGAGGGCTATTGAAGCTTACAAGGAATGCACCCCACATCTCAAGGACAGGACAGCACCAAGGCAGTGCCCTGGCCACCTGCCTGTGGTACCTGGGGAGCCATAGCCAGGGCAACCTTGGCAGAGGCCTCATGAGAATATCCTTAGTGAAAAGTACATGGCACCCACTTAAAAACGTGGTGCAGGGCTATGAGAAACCTTCCCTACAAAGGGGGGACATTCAGATGTAACCCAAATGTGGCAACACACTGCTAAAGCACAGGAATGGCCTCTGTGCCCCAGGGAGACAATCTGGAAGCTGGGCTCTGGCTGTGCAGGGGCCTGAGGCCCTGGCTGGGCCCTGAGGGGTCCTGGTTGCCTCAGGTGGAGCGAGCTCCCAAGGCCCCTTGTCACTGCAACGGGCTGTGTGTTGAACACTCCTGTGCTTCAAGCACCTTCTCCTCAAGCTTGGTGCAGATGACACCAAGCTGGGTGGGAGTGCTGCTCTGCTGGAGGGTAGGAGGCTCTGCAAAGGGATCTGGACAGGCTGGATTCATGGGTGGTGGCCAATGGGATGAGGTTCAACAAGGTGAAGTGCCAGGTCCTACACTTGGATCACAACAACCCCATGCAATGCTCCAGGCTTGGGGAAGAGTGGCTGGAAACTGCTCATGGGAAAAGGACCCGGGGGTGCTGATTGATAGAGCTGAACATGAGCAGCCTGTGCCCAGGCAGCCAAGGCAGCCAAGAGCATCCTGGCCTGTGCCAGCAATAGTGTGGCAGCAGGGGCAGGGCAGTGATCATCCCCCTGCACTGGTGAGGCTGCAGCTCGAATCCTGTGTTTGGTTCTGGGCCCCTCACTACAAGAGAGACATTGAGGTGCTGGAGCTGGGCCAGATAAAGGCAAGGGAGCCGGTGCAGGATCTGGAGCACAAGTGTGATGGGGAACAGCTGAGGGAACTGGGTGAGGTTTAGTCTGGAGAAGAGAAGGCTCAGGGGGGACCTTACTGCTCTCTACAACTGTCTGAAAGGAGGATGGCGCAAAGAGGTGGCTGGTCTCTTCTCCCAGTTAAGAAATGATAGGACGAGACATAATTGCTTCAAGCTGCACATGGGGAGGTTTACACTGGATATTAGGAATTTTTTTTTCACTGAAAGAGTGCTCAGGCATTGGAGAAGGCTGCCCAGGGCAGTGGGGGAATCACCATCCCTGGAAGTGACAAAAAAAACATGTAGATGAGGCCCTCAGTGACATGGTTTAGTGGTGGCCTTGGCAGTGCTGGGGTAGAGATATGACTCCATGATCTTGAAGGTCTTTTCCAACCTGGTTGGTTCTGTGACTCTAAGCAGGAGGGAAAATCTGCCCTGATGGGTGCGGGACTGCGAGGCCCAGCTACGACCTGCCCTTTGGGGCCGGAGCGGGGAGGCTGCCTTGTGCGGCCGCCCTCTCCGGGGCTGCCGGGGCTAACGCCCCACCTTTGAGCCGTGGAGGGCGGAGTGGGGGTGCGGCAGTCCCCGCTGGCGGCCTCTCGTCCCCTCCCCTCCCGCTGGCCCGGCCCGGTTCGCTCCACCGCCTTAACCCCGGCGGCTCCGAGGCGGGGGCTCCCGGAGCGGCTCCCTCCCCACAACCCTCCTTCCTCCCCGGCAGAAACCAGACACCGGGACGGCCCCGCGCAGTTCTTGTGGGGAGCGGCTCTGGGAGGCCGCTCCGCCGCTGCCCCGCCGCCTGGCTATGCCGCGGCCCGGCTAGGCGCGGCCCCGCTCGGAGCTCCCCGCCCGCACCATGCCATGTGTCCCGCAGAGCCGGGGGGCACAGGTCTCCCTCTGGATCCTCATCCTTCACGTCCAAGTGCCCTGCCTGAGTAGGGCCCCGCCGGCCGGCAGCTCGCTCTTCCCCGACGGGCGGCAAGGTCAGTACCTGGGTGCGGGGAGTTCCCCGGCAGGGTGTGAGGGAGCGGGGGCTCGCCCCGGGTGTGCGTCGCACAGGTCGTGTCGTGGCCCCTTGGCACTGCTCGGGCAGGAGAGGGGACGAGCGTCGCTGCTGCTGCGGCTCGGGGTGAGTGGCGCTGCCCGGGCTCTTGAGTGTCCGAGCCCGCAGCGTACCCTCGAGCGGCTCTGGGGACCGACTGCTCCAGCCTTAAAATGTTGAAGTGAGAGCACAGCTCTGCCTGTGCCCGCCTGTTGCTGTTTGGAGGTCACCGAATTGCACCGTGTAGATAAAGGTATTGTAAAATGCTGCTTTTTTCTCGTCTTCCTCGTTAAGAAGCATCTCTCTAAATGCCAGAATAGTTTTGTACTAAGCTGAAAAAGTAAGTGTATTGCCCTGTTGTTTTGCTGTGGGGTTTTTTTGTTTGTTTGGGGTTTTTTGTTTTGTTTTGTTTGTTTGTTTGTTTTTAACAAAGAAGAATCGGGGTGATCAGGGTGTAAGACACACTGTGATTTATTCGTAATTAGTGAGGATGATATATTAAAAGTGAGGCTTTATCTGTGGGAGGAATCTCTTGAGGCTGCTGCCCAGGTGGATTAATTCATTCCCTCGGTTGGAACTGGCTGCACACCTCCCTTGGGGGAATGTAAGTCAGGAATTTTATCCTGTTGTCTGTTTAAGGAAAATCAGAGGCAGCTCCCAAGAGAGAAAAATTATGATTAGTCAGAAGACTTTGCCTGGTGGTAGAAGACTTGAAAGTACAGGAGGAAATTTTGCTTCCTGAAAACCTTCGTGATGCAAACAACAGCTGTGGTGCTGTCAGTGGGAGAGCTTGAACACAGAGGAGAAAATCTGCTGTGCATCTCAGAGATCATGGAAATAAAAAGTGGTTAAGCAAGCTGCTGAATAGTGAACAATTATCCTGAAGTTAGTTCCTGCTGGATGTATTTAAACTGAATGCAGTCACTGCATTCCTGTGTCTCTCTGGATGGGACAGAACAGGGGTGCTGTTTTAGCACATAATAGCTGTTTAACTGTCAGGCATTTGGAAGTGAATGTAGAATTAATTTAACTTTCTATGCATGAAAAACCTAGGCTTTCTCAGGTGTTTGCAAATAGTTTTGTGTAAAGGGACAGTTAAAATTTGGCTGGGTTTTGTTTTTGTTTTTTTTTTTTTTTTCAGTGGGAGATTGAATGCAATGCTAAGTGTAAAGAACTCAAATTTCTATCTCTCATAGCTGAAGCAACTGTTGTGCTCCCTTCACATGCACAACAAGTGTAGCAGTCGGAACAGTTAAGGGTTCTCTCAATGAATGTTGAAGGCCTGATCCTTTGCCATGGGACTTTGGAGCTTGGGGTGTTTCCTGGGTACAGAGCCTTTCTTTGGCTTGGGAAGATGCTTCCTCCAGAGAAGAGCAACTCTATTTCCTATTGCAAGGAATCATTTGAAAAGAAGCCAGAGGGTCTGGGGGTCAGATGTAGATGAACTGCAAACATGGAGATGAAACAATGTCAAATGAGGGTGTGTCACATTTTAAAGGAATTTTGTCAGAAAACATGTTATCTGTCTGAAAGAAATTGTGGTTTTCTTGTCACACATGACAGACTGTGTATGTTTTTCTCTTTATCCTAGTTTATCCACTTACATACAGCCATCTTTACGGGCAGTTCTCTGCTGTGTTTTGAATCCACAGAGGAGCAGAACAGTCAGCAGTGGTTTGGAATATTATCAGATGTTTTCAGTGATGTAGAATTAGGAGGGTCTGCTGGGGAGCTTTCTCTAACAACTTAAACAATTCTTAGACTTATCAAACAAACATGAATGGCCTGTGCAAACAGTAATGCAAGGCTAAGTACTGACTTGAATGTATCAGTGTGATGTTTGGTTCTGCTCATGGCACTGATGCAAGCTGTCATGCCCAGGCTGCAGTTGTGGAAGGATATAGCGATCCCTGGAGCCACACAAGCTGCCCAGGGAAGTCTTCCTATTCCTGGACTATAAATCCTGAGCAGTGCCACTTGGCAGGCAGAGCTTCCGTGGAGTGGAGAGTATTAGAGGTGGCTAAGGAGCATGCCATGGCATGCCAGCCCTGAGGCTTGTTAGTGGCACTGGGATAGTTTCCCTCTGTTTAGTGTTTGGTGGCACTAAGGTTTATGGGAATGTGTGATGTTTTAATAAGAATAAATTATTAATTTAGGAAAATTGAGGCAGTCAGTGTTGAAGAATTCAACCCTTATTCTTGTGCAGTCTGGGTTGCATGCATTAAGTTATTCCATTTGTTGCCTCTGCCCTCTAGTTGGGTGTTACTCTTTCCTAGAAGGGCAGAAAGGTAAAACCAAAATTGTACCTCCTATTTTTGTTTTACACTCTTCTCCATCAAGAAAGATCAAGTGGTATGTTAGGCTTAATGTGGACCTCAGTTAGTCGTTATTGGTAGGATTGCCCTTGCTAACCTTTACCCAATAGTCTAGAGAAAACTGGTAATGATTATTTGCAGAGAAATCCTTAGCCTCATCTTGTTAAACTTTGTTGTGTTGTAATCGTGATCCCTCTGGTCGTTTGAAAACTGCTTAATAATTCAATTCTGTGATTACATTACAGTATACTGTTATTGCAGCATAATTTGCTCTCCAGTGACTAGCATTCAGAAATGAGTATTTAAGGAGGAGTGGAAGGAGTTTGACTTCTCTGCCTTGATAATTTTGTTGCCATCAGACGCTTCAGCATTATTTTCCCTCTTACTGATGATGATGTCTAAATTGCCTTAACTTCTAAACACTAATCACTATAATGAAATAAAAAGCTTCCTTGAATAGTTTGAAGTCCAAAACTGCAAGTCTGTGGTCTTGCATGGAGATGAACAGTTAAGCCACAACAAATTAATCTCAAGACATCAAGCAGAGGCAAATCGCACAGTGACACCAAATGAGTAAGTTTTCCTCCAGGCATTTAATTTGATTATTTAGTGAGTTGTGCTGAAAACCATAGAAATGGGGCCTGATCTTGCTTGATCTTGCACTGTTCTCTTAGCCTGTCTTTGCTAGCACAATATGGGATATGGGTCTTCTCAGAAGTCTAATGAAACTTATGCAGGTAAGCCATGGTTTTGGGTGTTTCACCTCTCTTGTCCTGCTCAGTTTTTGCTTCACTCTGGAGCGTGGGGAAGGAGTGACATATCTTTAGCTGCCGTATTGTTCAGCTGGGACGTTATGTGCTATATAGAGGCTGTGTAAACTGCAGGCATGAAGGTGTGGATTGAATTTCCCATGTCTCAGTCCCTGCTGTACTTATGTGGGCAGAGGCAGGAGATGTCTTAGAACTTGTGGTAGGTGTTAATCTCTGAGGTGTCAAGACCTGCTAGTGTGGACATTTAAAAGCCCGTTGCTGTGGCTTGTCCTGCAAAGGCAAAAAGTCATGATAGGCTGGTGGAAAGACTTGTGTACAAATAATTCTGTTGTGTATGAGAATAAGTTTGCTTCTGAAATAAAGGTGCTACTAAGACAAGTCCAAACTTTTTATGTAGTTTCGTATATATGCTTTTTTTTTTTTTTTTTTTTTTATGGCCTGATTAAAGACAAACATCCATGTCTCGTACTGCAGCTAATGGGGACAAAGGAGATATGTTCCCTCCCAGAGCGGATGAGCCTGGACAGCTGTCTGTCTCAACATGGTTTATCCTGTGTGGCTTTGAAGATGCAGGCAGTGGAGAGAACTATCTCTAGAAGGATTGTCTTACCATTCCTAAGGAGGAGAAAAGTGCTCTGGAAGTACCTGGAGCAGTCTAATTGCTTTGTTAACCAGCTTAATTAATGAATAAGTTTTAGGTGCTTCACGTACAAGTGGCTGGGACTTCAGGAACGAAGAGCGAAGAGCCCTAGGGAAGGAGGAACTGGAATGACATGTATCCTCACAATTTCCTTTTGATGAAATACATTCAGACTGATTTCTTGGGCTGAAGTCAAGTGTGCTAACAGATCTGGCTCTAAGAGTATGAGTTTGTAGGGACTATGTTGTAAGTGTATGTATGTTATTTGTTTGGACTTTTGAGTTTTACACTAATTTAAAGAAAAATGAAATTGGGAACGGGTGGTATTCTGTGTCACAGCAGGAGACAAGAATGCCAGGAACGCTTTTTTCCCTTGTTAGATTCTGATAAGTGCTAATACATCTGGTCTTACTCTGGTTGGAACCCCTTATAAAAAATGACACAGTTACTTCATTCCCCTTCAAACCCTCTTTTAAAATACCATCTTCTGCTGCAACTGATGCTACTGAGGTGCTGTTGTCGTAGCCTGTCAAGCCAATTAGTGGTGTTTGCTTCACCCATGTGTGTTTTTAAGGCTCGGTCTCCTGCTTCAGATGGTCAGCTTTTTGGATGCGTGGGGATGACCTTGATGAGAGCATTGTATGCTGGGGACCTAGGACAGAGGGGGTTCTCAGCTTTTGTGGGGTTGGAAAGAGGTGTGTGTGTGACAGTCAATCCTTCATATGAATGCTGACAAAATGTTTGAAAAGAAGAATTTTTAACTTCTAAATTGAGTGTTATACTGGAGAGTAGAAAGCCCAGATGGGGGTTGTAGTGCATGCTGGTCTGTGCACTGCCTGCCTTTATGTCAGTAGGATTGTGTAGTGAATTGTAGTATTTTTTGAGTTTCCCTGTTAAATCATGTGAGATTTGAACAGGCTAGGACTCACCCTAGGTTTACTTATTTTGTTTTCTTTTTTTTCCCTTCTTTTTCCCCTTCCTCTCAGAGCAATTTATCAAGACACTTCCAGAATACCATGTGGTTGATCCAGCAAGAGTAGATGCAAATGGGCATTTTCTTTCTTTTAACTTATACCATCACATCTCAAACACGAGGAAGAAGAGAGACCTCAGCAAAAAGGATAATATGATATACTACAAAATCAACCATGAGGATAAGGATCTGTTTTTTAACTTGACTGCCCATATGCGATTTCTTTCCCATAACTACGTAGTAGAAAGGAGACATGGCAACCACACTGGTGCGAAGATTGCAACTCACTCAGGAGCTCCTTGCCACTTCATTGGCACAGTGTTGCAGCCAGGTGCTGGGAGCGGGACAGCAGTGATCAGCACTTGTGATGGCCTGGTAAGTGATGTGTCCTTAATGAATGGGGTTATGGCTAATTTTTGTGTTATTAGAACTGAGCTAGAGCAGTGGTGTATGAATATGTTTCACTGGTAAGAAACTGGATAAGCCAGTCTTACATAACACTCTGACATAACCTTACTGACATAATGCTCTGAAAGAATCGGTTTAATACTATGGATGCCATTTGGATTTTTGGAAGAGAGAATCAGGTCAAAAGTTGATGCTAAGGCCCACCTGGGGTTTACTTTAGTCACTAGATTATTATTATTTTTTTTCTGGTGCTGGCCTGAACATCTCTGTCATACCTGTTTCTTGAAGCCATCCAAATATCCAGTCACTATGTTGATCCCATTAGTAGTTGAAGCGACTTTGCTATGCATCTGGATATGAGCTCCTGTTGTAGTTTCCTCTAAAAGGAATATAGGTCAGGTGCAGCAAAACTGCCCTGCTTGTTAAACCTACTAATGGTAGGCTGGGAAGACTGAGATACTTGCTTCAGACCTGCACTCAACTTCAGAAATAAATGTAGGGTAGATGCAACCTTATCTAGAGCTTTACATTCACATCTGTACTACTTCTAAGCATCCATAATTCAGAAGAGTACTTCTGAAGCTGGAGCTTGAAGTCTTAGTAGACTGTGGCAAAGACGAGGAGGTAGAAACCTTAGGTTTGGTTTTTACCTCTACCATAGGTTAGGTTTCTGCTTCTAGAGGATAATGCTGAACCCATCTTGTCTGGGAGGGGAAGAAGACACAGACTGCTGGAATGTGAAGGGAATGCTACAGGGAGCTGTGTAAAACGTCACACATAATTGCTGAGAAGCAAATGCAAAGGATTTGTGGAGCGTGCAGACAAAGGTGATGAAATGTGTACAGGGTGCGTGTGCTGTAGTGCCTTGACCACTGAGTGTCAAATTACAGTCTTTGAAAGTGCGCAGAGCAGTGCACTGATGCCTTGCTGACAGCACATCTCAGACTGGCGCAGGCTAGGCACTGATGCTTCATTTTTGGGCATAAGCTCCACGCCAAGGTGTGTATCTGTAAAGTACATTCTTTCTCTGACAACCTGTCAGTGTCTAAGTGTGTTCCTTGCTATTGAGAAGTATGAAGCTTTCTGAAGCTTTGGAAAATCAGTGGGTTACAAAAGTATCCTGGCAATTTACGAAAAGTAACGTGAAGACAGCTCTGGGGTAGATGAAATGTGAAACTTTGAAGTCTTCCACTGTGCTGATGACACTTTTGGCATGTTGCCTGAAGAAACAGACCGTTGCTTGAAGTCAGAAGCTTCAGTCCCACAGGCTTGAAGATCAGGGATTTTCTAAGTAATTCTTCTATTATGGACCAACTTATCAAAGCTTCCCTGAAACATGTTATGGTCGTACAGTAAGGAAAAGGAGATAGGATGAAAAAAGTAGTTCCTTTGGTTGATTTGTCTGGTGCTTTACCAGAACGTCTTTGTTAGTTTTCATAAGAATGAGAACTTGAAGTTAAGTTCTGGATCTTCATTATGCCTTCTGAAGTTTGCAACAAGGATTTAAACCTCCCAAAAAACCCTCAAATTACATTTTAAATTCAGCTTGGTAATATCCTGTGAAGTGATCCTTTAATTTGGGCTACAAACTTTTTGAGGAGGGTTTTTGAAACAATGTTTGCTAGAATACATGCTTGGAGATTGTTTCTTTTTGAGAGAACACTTGTATCAGAAAAATACTGTCATGGCTTGAGTTTTCCCACTACCCCAAAATTAAACCTTGAAAATATGCAATCATAAATTAATTCAGGTTGAAAGTGACTTTTAGGGAAAAACATGATGGTTTTGATGCAATGATTTTTGAAGATCAGGAGGCACTGCTCTTAAGAGGTTTCATTAAGAGCTGGGTCTGAATCTCTTAACAACTCTGACTGCTACAGCTGGGGAAAGGTGGTTTAGCTTGCATTTTGCCTGGAAGTTTTCCAAAGATCCAGTATCATATGGAAACACTGATTAATGAGTAATTTCACCAGTGCAGAGAAGTGCAGTCTGGTTTTCAGGATAAAACCGTGTTGTTTCTGAAACTGTGATAGTCTGCTGCTTCCTGAGCTAATGGTAAATTATTTCCATCCTGGAGATCTGCAGTTTTTTTGCTGTTCTGCACCATGTCTTTTCCTGCCTTTTTTTTTTTTTTTTTTTTCTCTGAGATGTATTGTGCTTGTTAATTGAAAAGAAATTTTTCTGTCTATTCTTACCAGGGAGGGAAGGAGAATTGAAAATAGGTAAACCACATGGAATTAGAGCAACTTATTTGAGATGCTAAAAACCTATCCCATGAGGAGAAATTGTAAGCTTGATTACTGTAGGAGATTAATTCTAAACTGCTTGATAAAAAGAGTTTGGTGAACTAACGAACTGCACAGGGCGAGTTGGTAAGGCTCTGTGGGGCTGAGATGGGAAGAAGAGGAAGATAACAAAACAGTGTGGTTAAAAGATGCCAGATTCCCAGAACAGGCTTTGGAGGCAGTGGCTGCTGCATAGGTCCCTGTGCAGGGTCAGGGCCACACTCTTGAGTGTGTGCTTTGGCAAGTAGGTCCCGATTCAGCACTGCAAGCTGGCAGAGTGCTGATGTGCTCCAGCCTCATAACCTGGGAGCTGCTAAGAACCAGTACCTTAGCCTTCAGATTTGGGGAATGGGAATATTATTGATGTTACTTTCCCTACACCATTTTGTCTTGACAGTTCAGGTATGTTGTTAAGTGATAAACATGCTTTGCTTTTTTTGTTGAGATGGTCTTTAATGAGCTAAATGAGGTACTGATTTATGATAGTAGTGAGTGACAGGAAAATGTGTCACCTAAACTGCTATTTCTTGACTTTCTTAATGATAGGGACTGGTAAAAAATCTATAATACTGAAAAATACTGATTTAAGTAAATAAATGTGTTTTATTGGAATATTCCATTTTTTGACTGTTTTTAGTGGGAAAAGGTTGAAATGTTATCTTGTTGCCCAGTGAAATGCTTAAGAATATTGTCATCTTTTGCAACACCATCCAACCCCCTCAAAAAAAAAAACAAACCCAAAATTGAAATTGGCCTGAAGTGGGGCACAGTAAATTCCTAAAGATGACTGTGGGAGTGGAATCCTAGTTTTATTCTTCTTTCTGGATTGAATTCCTCTTATGGGAAGTCTACTTGGTTCATGTTTGGAAGTTCCTGAATTTGCAGGACAAAAGCAGTGTATAAGAACAAAACAGACGTGTGGTTTAGATCTGTATTCTGTTGTAAGGGTCACTTGCACAGAGCACTGAAAGTACAGTAAACCTAGAAATGGATTTTCATCTCCCTTGCGTTTTTACTTTGAAATAAATTCCTGCTTCCATTAGCATTTCATGGACATCGCTCATATAGCAAAGATATAACTTACTATTAATTTTTATTCATGGCACTTTTTAGAATCAGATTTCTTCTGCATAAATCAAGTGGATGGTGCTGAGAAGACGTGGTTTTCAAAGGGGCATCTGTTTGACTAAATCAGAACAACAAATGATTGAAAAAGAGAAGTGACACTTTCAAAATGTGGGAAACAACTTTTTGCCATCAGCAGTTCTCCAGGTTGACAGCCTGGTGCTTTTCAAATAGAATGCCATCATTCTTAGGAATTGCAGTATTTCCTTAGTTGTTTTGAAAACAGTACGCTAATGTCTTATAAATTTCATTTTCCTGTGTATTTATATATTCCCCAAATGCCCTGCAAGGGGAATAACAAAATGACAGATTTGAGATATAAGAATGGAAAAGACAGTCATTGTATGACATTGTTCTTTTTTAAAAATGTAAATGTATCTCTGGGCAGAATGGGACAAGAGGATGAAGAGGACAAACTAGCAGAGATCTGAAGGAATTTAGCTGTTATTTCCAACCCCTTTTTTTTATTTTTTTTTATTAACACGTTGTGATATCTTTGTTTCCCTTTCATGCTGAATAGGTCATGACATTTTTAAAAGGTTGAAGAACATGGTTCTGCAAACTCTGTCTCTTCTGAATCAGTTGTCCTGTAGCCCAGAGAAATGACCATGGCTTTCTGTGCCTGTGTGGTATACCTGCAACCAACATTTTTTCTCTTCCAGTAAAAGCGGGTTTTTTTGGCTATGTACGTGGCGGTGCAGGAATACACCTAAAGAAGGGGAAGATGTAACCTTTTCTTCTGTTGCACTTACAATCATCTGAAACTGGATTCAGCACTCATCTCTTACATGGAATTGCGCTCAGAACATATTTAGACACACGTGCTGTTTTGGTGGCTGTTATTTTAAGAGATAAATTGAAATGTATTTCTGTAGTGTTAATAAAGGTGCTGGGAGACAAATAGACAAGTTCTTTTTCAGGGTCTCTTTCCTTCATGCATCTTTCTTTGCTGCTTCTAAGAGAGTCTCTGACTTTGTACAGTCTCTCACTGTACAGTACTTGGTGGGTTCTGCTTGTGGTTGGAAGTGTGGCAGATGGCCCGATCTGCTAGTCTTGTCTTTTTATTTGTATGTCAGTATCATCTCCAGAGCAGCCTCTTTTGGTTTGTCCAGCTGGTGATGATCTGCTGAAACTAAAATGTAGGAATAAGGTGTTCGGAGAATATCAGGTATGAAAGCAAACTGCCAGCCTTTTTCTTGGGAATGGGAATTGCTCTATGGCTGGATATAATGGAGCTTCCAAAGTCTAAATATTCTGATTTGGCTTGTTGTGGCACGTGTAAAGAAGGAAAGACCTGCTGAGTAACTCGGTTATGTATCTGCTGTATGTTTCTTCTTAGGCAGTAGTATGAAAAATACTGTAAGTAGAAAAATCTACACTGAAACTAAACACAGTGTTCTATGTCATGCTTGGATGGCCTGTCCTGTCCATATAATAATAAATACCTGGATATTCTCCTCACTTGACTAGTGTTGTGTTGTGTGGTTTGTTTTTTTGTTTTTGTTTTTTTTTTTTTTTTTGTTTTTGTTTTTTTTTTTGTTTTTTGTTTTTGTTGTT